CGCACTGTTCCCAAGCACATGAAGCTTGTATTGCGCATGGTTTACTCGCTGCATTGGACCGAGTCCATTGAGCAGTTTGAGTCGCGTCTTGTTGACTTGTATCACCACCTTACCGACGAGACCATGTTTGATTCTCAAGCCAAGGAAGAGGATGCCCGTGCGTTTTGGGTCTACTTTGTGGGTGAGTGGACTCGCGGATATCCCATTGACTTTGTCCACCCAACCAACCCCCCTGCCCCCATGCGCCGCAGGCGCAGACGTGGTGGGCCCGATCAAGATCAAATTGTTGCTGCCAACAAGTCTGTTTCACGATGGTTCCGTTGGCGTGTGTTTGACTACCCGGCTGGTGTTGTACGGACAAACAACACACTTGAAGCCAAGCACTCTGTATTCAAAAAGCAGTTCAAGATGGCGGTTGCACAATCACTGGTGGATGCGGTCAATTGCAGTATGCAATGTGTCAATCGCCAACCTTTGTTTGAAGCACCTGTTCGCCTTCTCCCGCAGGTTCCCGTATGTTGCTTCCAAGTTGTTTCAATCTGTTTCATCCTTTCATCCATGGCTTCCACACTGACTGAATTCCTTATCATGAGAGGCTTCCAACATTGACGAGGCACATCGCTGGGCAGTCGACAACACTCATGATGTTTCCCGTCGAGCCAGCCAACACCATTGGACGATCACGTACTCTGCAGCAATTCCGTCATTTGCATATGGTGGCTCTGCCGATGGTGTCCGTGGGGTGACCAGCGAGGAGATTCCGGAGACAGTTCAAGTTGTTGTGCGCCTTCCTCGCCAAACCACCATGGACGCGGAGCTCCCTACTTGCGAGTGCCTTTATGCGTTTCGAAACGGATGGTGCCACCACATTCTTGCTTCTTCTGCTCAGTATGCTTTAAAGCTTCATCCTGCCCTTCCAACCTTGGCGTTAATGCAAAGTCGGGGCAAGCCTGGTGCAAGTCGTGGTGGTCGCCCTCGCAACTCTGGCCCTGCACTTTCAATGGATTGCTTGATTTGAGAGTGCTCCATTATTTGCTTTTTTTTTGGTGTTGACGTAACCATGCCTCTTCCTCATTCCACCCTTCATGTCAAACATCTCCATAGCATCCTCATTCTTGTACGGTATTTTAAAATACTTATGTATTGTTCCCTTAATAGTCAAGCGATGTTCTGACTGTCTGCCTCAGTCAGATCAGCAGAAGCTCAACATTTTGTCAAAAAAATTGCCGGATCCAACTTACCCGCCGAGTCCTATTACTTACCCTCCAAGTCCTATTGCTTACCTGCTGTGTCCTATGTCCAAAAAGTTGCCCGCCAAGTCCAAAATCGTACCCGCCCAATGCCATATGTTACCCGCCAAAAACCTATCGTACCCGCCGAAAACTATTAATCACAGCCTTGTTGAGCATCCATACCGTGCCTGCCGCATCATCGAATCCTTCGGGCTTTGCCATGTAGATAATGAAGTCCAAGCCCGCGTTGATTTTTTTTTTTTAAATCGCTATTACATGAATTATGACGGACATAACCAACGCTTTGTGCTTTGTGAAATTACAGAAGCTGGGAGGATAGAGGTCCAAATACACCCATAGAAATGGCAAAAGCAAGTAGGATAGAGTGCAAGCAATTGGTAATTTTTTTTTTTTTTAAATACAAGCAGCCTATGTACTGAGGGAGATCTAACCATTGATACACAAAGACACAAGCTCATACACACAAACACACAACTCCTTGGACTTGGCACTTGGGTACTTGCTTGGGGCCTTGGACCTTTGGCTTGATTCCGGCCTCGTACAACCACCAACAGAGGGTATTTTATAAATACACGCAACGTGGTTAACCAAAAAAAAAAAAAAAAAAAAAAACCACCAACAGAGGGTGAGCAAAGCAAGAATGCAAGCAATGCAGGTGCAGGGGCCGGAAGGCCAGGGGACAGAAGGAGGCAATGTGGAGCAGAGACCAAGCAGCCACATGTGCACCAGATGACTTGGGTGGGGTTCAAACCCACAACCTTCGCCTTGCAAGGCGGGAGTGTTGCCACTATGCCAAAACCACTGGCGCAAGCAATTGGTAATAGGGGCACAAGGCCATGGTGTGATTGGGGAGTGGGGACAATGGGATGGGAAATGGGATGGGAAATGGGATGGGAAATGAGATGGGAAATGAGATGAGCGAATGGGAGAGAAAGGGTGATAAAAGGAATGTGGGATGAGGCATAGGAGAGGGGAACATGGGATGAGGGGGAAAAGCAAGAAGGATAAGATCAAAAGAACACAGATGGAGCCACATTGAAACTACTCAAAACTCAACAAACAAGAAGAGGACAAGTTAACTGGAACACAGCATCAAGCGAGCAGACAAACAGCAACTACAGACTGCGGGAGGGAGGTTAATCAAATCAGAGAACAGAGGGTCGTGGAAGGAGGATAGAGATAAACTGAGCGGGGATGCATCATTTCTTGGAGGAAGGGCAGGAAAGGTTGCCAATCAGGTCAGTAATGAAGAGCAGCACGTGAAAGAGATGGAACAAAAACTTGGTGGGGATCCATTTGTGCCCCAAGGCGGGTTGCAAAGCGATGCCGAGACTCTGAGAAGCCAAATCTGGGGACTACCAGTCCAGGGAATGCGCTGTGGACTCGCCATTCGCCAAGCGATACAGGTGCAATTGAGTCTGATGCAGAGCCAAGCAGTGGGCGCGATCCTACATGCACCTCGTGGACAAAGTGTGAGGCTGCAAGTGACAAACAAAGTGTTGGTGGCTTTTGAATTGGTGCAGCCAAACCCGCGTTGAGGTACGCCTTTGCAATGTCGCTGGTTCGCATGTGGTATCCTTTTGCTGATGCCACGCCCAACATGACCCGCAGCGTGTCCCAACGGACAGCTGGCAACCACGTCCTGTCAAAATGCTGGCCATGTCGTTGAGTAAAACCCTGCACAACCAGTCGCGCACAGTACCGTCAAACTTGTCCAGCCTTGATATCAATCTTGCGAGTGAACACCCATAGACTACCGACAACCAACTCACTGTCTGGCTTGGCTGATTCCTTGTACACGTTGAGCTCAGTCATTATGCCAACTTCGTCGTTCATGGCCTGCTACCAGAACAACCATTCGGGCGAGTCGAAAATGTCCTTGACCTTCTTGGGTTCGGAGCAAAGGTCACAAACTGGCGGCACCTGCTTGATTGAGGTGTAAGGCACGTCAGGCACGAACCCAACAACCTCCTCAGTCCGCCAAATGGCCTCAAGCGCCTTGTCGGAGACGTCGCCTTCAGCCATGGCCTTGGCGGCTTCGAACAACACGGTGGCCGGTACGCCCTTGAATGACATGCGCGCCATATCGGGGTACGACACGACGCTCTACCGGGGCTGTCGTGGCCCAGTGGTTAAGGCGCCGGGCGTCCACTGTGGAGGTCGTGGGTTCAAACCCCACAGGCGGCGATTCTGGTATAGTGTTTCTATAGTCCTTGCCACTCGCTTGTGCATGGATTCGGTTTGGTTGCCAAGCACAAGTTAAATTCAAGTTGTTTCAGGTCCAAGCTGTCCGGGGTGGATCCCGCCTGCTCAACTTCAATCTGAGCCCCCTCTTGGCAAGCACCGCGTGTCCCTCTGTGTTCCCGCCTGTGTCAAGTACAAGACCCAAGTCCAAGTCCCTCCAAGCTTCAAGTTTGTGTTGTGTATTTGTTCATGGATTGTCGCCATATGTACAATTGTCCTGAGGTAAAATTTTAAAAAAAAAAAAAAAAAAAAAAAAAAAAACCAATGACGTCATCAGTTGACGGTTTCGCAGCTTCCTCGGCCTCTTGCTGCTTGGCGGCCCGGCGGGTCAGAACACCAGCCTCGATGGTCTTTGTAGCTGACTCCTTGAAGGCCTTGATCAAGTCACCAGTGGGCGTTTCGAGGTGTGCTTGCAGGCCCTGGGCCTTCACTGAATGGCAAAGCTTCTTGCGCAAGGTTGGGTACCACGACGGGTTCTTGAGCGAGAGTTGGGTTGGACAGAGGCGAGGAGAACCCATGGCAGTTGTGTGTGTGTTGTGTGTGGGTAGAGAGGTGTAGGAATTGTTCTCACTGTCAACAGTATCGGTCCTAATGTATAGTATACCGACCCGGCTGGCAGGACCGAAGCTCACAAAGGTTTTGGACACAAGTGTTACCAAGCCTAAGTACGCTTCTCAAGCTACATTTGCAATAGAATGGTGCAAACGGGCCTCGAGGGCAATCAACAGGGGAGAATCGAGCAGAGTATAGGGCAGGGTCTACGCAGGTCGCTAACCTAATAGATCATAACCTGATGGAGGGAAGCAACGGATATGCACTATACTGCTAGTATGCACAGGCAAAATGTATTCAGAGAGGGGAGGTGAGGGCACTCTCCCTGCATTTAGAGAAACATGCTGCACACTCATCGGAATAAACAGGAAACACAAAACAAGTAACATGGCTTCATATCAGCAATCGGGAAGTATGGCTGGTGCTGGTGAGGCGAGTGTGTCACAAGCCATTACGAGTGGGAATGGAGGCTTTATAAATACATGCAACGTGGTTAACCAAAAAAAAAAAGGGAATGGAGGCGATCGTCCACTGGCCAACGCGTGCACTGCCGTTCGGCTTCAAACACCAACCACTCCTTCCATTGTGTTGTGTGCCTGTTGCTGCCTCTGGCAGGTGCATTCTGAGTATCTGTTTGACTTATCACCCCTTTCCCTTCCTCTTTGGGTATTCAGATCTGATATGATTTTTTAAATACATGCAATGTGGTTAACAAAAAAAACATCCAAGCCATTGCAGCCTCCAAAGCAGCTCTTGATACAAGGACAACACCTCTTTCTCAGCTTCAATACATCTTGATACAAGGATGATACCTCAACTCATTGTTGTGATTGCTTGCTTGATTGATTGTTTTTCATTTTTATCATTTTTTTCTGCACTGCATGTACAGTGCTCCTGCTCTTGAAAGCAAACGAATAAATCAGCTTGCAGCAATCGAAAGCGAAAAAGAAACGAGCACGGGGAGGTTCGAACTCCCGGCCTTTGGTACCGGAAACCAACGATCTAGCCACTGATCTACGCGCCCTGTGGTGCCTGAGACTTGAATGCGGCTCATAACGGCGCAATACATTACCGATCAACACACCCAGGCGGCATAAAAGTTGGTTCACATAAGATTCCCATTTATGCATTGGTAATAAGGTGGAGTCTTTTTCATGTATTTGCCGACCAATGGCTTTGGCATGCTTGTGTTCCTATATGTGTTCCTATTCCTGGCATGTACCCAGTTACCATGCTATGCACAGGGACATGGACATTGTGCAGATGGAAGGCCAAAGCTCTGTTGTGATCTTCCTGGATTGGGATTGCAGGACGATTGGATGAATTCTCGAATGAACCACACCTCTGTGAAATTGGCATTCCTTCACATGATCAAAATCATCACGTCCTTTGGATCAAGTTGCCGTTAACGTTGGAAGCGCGTCCTATTTATCCTATTTTGACCATGCTCTTCTTTGCCTCCAGTATTTGTTTTGTTGCCAAGCTTTTAGAGTTGGTTATGTCTATCTATCTTTGACAATACATGCAGCGGTGCACCCCCCCCCAAAAAAAAAACCTTGCGTTCATAATGCTGACAAAATCATATGGAAGCGATGAGTGGTTGATGCACAAGACTGTTGAAAAGTTGAATCTTAGCAGACGAGACTCGAGAGTGTGCAGGATGGCGAGTTCAGAGAAATCAGCTGACAAAATAGAAAAGGGGGATTGAGGTCTCACTCACCCCACAAAATCGCGATCGCAGTCTACGAAAAGCGTGTGGTAACCGAAGTCAGCCCTTGTGCACGCGTGGGGTCAAAAAGAGAGGAAAACACAGCTCTCAATGAGCTCGTTGCAATGCCTCAGAGAAAATATGTTAGCTGGCATGTGATAGTAGGAGGTAGTGATGCTTGTGTGGGGAAAAAAGAACACATCGATTCAGAGGGTGTACATTGTGCTTATACAAGAAGAGCGAATGGTGAATGAAGCATCTATGACATGAGGCATGAAAAAACTCAACGAAATGGGGAAACAGCGGAATCACTCCTCTAACTGATTGGGAGATGTTGGTACACCAGGAAATGAGTGCAAATAGGATTCAGGTAAATCATGAACGGTCACGGGCTTCATGTCAAATGAAGCTCCACTCGAGCGAGGACTAGGGCCTTGAACGGATTGCGACCGCATGCGCGATGACCCACGCGGAGGTGCAGAGAAATCCAATGAGTCACCTGAAACGGGCATGGACATGCGGTGATTATTTGAGACAACCTCGTCACGATCGGAATCTGGTGCAGGTGTTGACTGGGTTGAAAGGCGGTTCGGGTCTGCCGGTTTGCTCGTGACCTCGTCGTACTTGGCTTGCAGTCGCATCATGTCAGCTTAAAGTGTGGTCCAAGCAAGCAGCACGGGTGGGTCAGTGGTGAGAAAAGATCTGCAAGCAAGCGCACAAAAAAGGAGGAACATACCCATGAGAGTGTCAATGGAATCCATGTACTGTGCCATGGTTTCCCGACGACTTTGTTTGAGGTGGGACACTTTGCCCTGCATCTCCTTCAACTCCTGCTCCTTTGCAATCAATGCGGCACTCGCCTCTGCTAATGATGCTTCCAACTCGACAACACGCGCCTGCACGGATGAGCCTTGCGAGTCCTTGGAGGCGACTTGCTTCTTGAAATCTTCAACGGCTTTTTCAAGGGCCTCGTTCTTGGCCTCTTGCTGCGCAACATGCTTGGTGAGCTCTTGCACCTTGGCCTCTGCGACAGAAAGTTGACCACGGGCAGAGCCGAGTTCGGAGTTTCGGGCCAAAACTTGAGCGTATTCGTCTTGCAGCTTTTCCTGCGCTTGTCGAAGTGTGACAAGCTGTTCGTGCAATGACGTGGATCGAGCTTGGCTCGATGCCAAGGATTGTTCCATGTCGGCAATCACGTGCTTTGCCTCGCCCAAGTCTTGCGCGCGGGACAAAGCGAGGGCCTTTGCGACACTGAGGTCGTCAAGGTGCGACTGCAACTGGGCAGCAAGATCGCTCGACTCGGTACGGCTGGCCTCCAGGTCACGCTGCAGAGAAGAAATCTGATTTTGAAGTTGCTGAGTCAAACGGGCCTTGTCAGAATCGAATTGGGCTTGCATCTCTGCAATCTTCTCTTGCAAACCTTCGCGACCCTTGACCGCTTGTTCGAGGAGAGTCACCTTCTTTTGACAATCGGTCAAGTCGTTTTCGGCGGCAGCGAGCGCGGCAGACCGTGCTTCGAGTTGAGATTCCAAACGCTTGAGCTGCTGAGTCTGGGACAAGGTCTTGTGTTCGAGCTGAGAAGCCGTCGAAGTCACCGAGTCGATTTCGGATTGCAACTGATCAATGAGCTGCTTCTTTGCCGAAAGGTCGCGATCAAGCGACGCGAGCTGTCGCGTCTTGTCGGCCAAAACTTGTTCCATTTCAGCCTTGGACTCGTTTGCATGTCCCAGTTCGGTCTCGAGCGAGCTAACCAGCACGCGCTTTTGATCGTCGCGCCGACGAAGGGATTCGATCTCGTCTTGCAACTGTGGAATGACGGCGCACTCCTCGTTGGCTTTGGCAAGCTTGGTCTGCACGTCGATGAGGTCTGCTGTAACTTGGTCGAATTGAGCTTGAAGCTTTTGCAAATCGGATGCCTTGCCGTCGCGGGCCTGTGCCATCGCATCACGCTCGGATTCCAACTCCTTGACTCGAGATGTCAAGCGTTGCACGTCCTGCGCGCTTGCCTGAGCGGTTGCAGTAACCTCGTCCAGCAACGACTGCGTGCGATTGAGCATTTCCTGACGCTTGTCGAGTTCCATGGTCAAGGTTTCGATTCGATCCGACTTGGATTTGAGTTCGCCATGGAGCTTGCCGAAAGTCGCAACCCGATCTTCGCCCATCTTCATGAACTCATCCATTGTACTCGTCGACGACTGAAGTTCCCGTTCGAGGACGCCGATGCGAGCTTTGTAACGATCAGACTCTGCTTCCACGCGCCGCTTGTCTCGCTCCATGGCCGCGAATGAGTCGCGCGCAGCCTTGAGGTCTTGCAGGGCTGTGGCAAGTTCCGCTTCGAATCGGGCGGCTTGCTGGTGCTTTTGCTGAGCTTCAGTTTCAAGGACAGAGATGGTTTGGGAGATGTCGTCCAGCCTACGAAATAACGACACAACATAATTGCGTTAGTATGTGATATGGCACAAGACAAGAAGCAGAAAAACGTACTCGGAGGCCATAATGGTTCGAGACGAGAGCTCAACTTGGAACTGGGTAATGGTTTCGGCCTGCTCGTTGAGGGTTCGCGACTTTTCGGCAAGAGCGGATTGCAGTTCGCTGAGCGCTTGTTCCAATGCTTCGACTTGCTTGCTGTGGGAAACTTGCATCTCGGCAACGGCAACATCCTTTGCCAAGGTTGCATGCGCCAACTGGGCTTCCAAATCCCTGATTTTAACGTCCAGCTCTTCGCGCTCTTGATTGGAAAGAACCCCTGAAACGGCACGCGTCGCGCTGTCGAGCTTGAGCATCCGGTTTTCCGCCAGTAGCTCTTCCACCTTATTGCGAAGGTCCTGAATTGCATGCGCATCCTCTGCCGGTCGGACTTGCGAGTGCTGGTCACCCGATTCGGGAGCAGCGCCGTGGTGCTCCAAGTGACGCGAAAAGGCGTCCAAAGAGTCTGGCATTGGCGGAGTGGGGAACGCATGGTTAAAGGACGCGTTGGGGTCGTCGCCATTCATGGAGGAGGGTCGGGAAAACTGTGATGATGTAGGTGAGAACCCAGGCGAGTACATGACATCTCCAGATGGCAAGGGAGAGGGAAGTACAGAAAGGGTAAGTCGTTTGGTGGGCTGACCAACCGGTTCAGGTGCTGGCGGTGCGGCTGGATTGATTGACAGAGCCTTACGTTGGCGAGCGGATGCATATGTCGCGGCCGGTGAAGGGGACATGGAGCGACGTCGGTCGGAAACCGAGGCGCGTGAAGCATTGGGAGTAGCGCCTGCATCGTTGGTATTAAAACCAGGCATACGCGAGGTGGATACGCCTCGTGAGGCAGAGGAACGCGACATGGACGGAGTGCGAGGCGGCACGCCAGAGCGAGAGGGAGTGGTGGCTGATGTCATTCGAGCCGAGCCGGGCGTGAGTCCGCCACTACGGGTGCGCTGTTGTTGGCTGGAAGACATGGAAGAGTCTGTCGAACTGGTGCTAACCCGTTGGCTTGGCCGTCCGTGTGCATTGGCTGTGGCGAGAGGTGCGGACGTGTGTCCATAATTCGATTGGCCTTGCGCGGGCCCTGGAGACGGACGCATTGGAGTTGGCCGAACAGGGGTGCGGGCCGGGGTGCGGGGTTGCTGCTGGGTTGCATGAGGTTGCCGTGCCGGGGCGACGGCCTGCACTTTCTCCGCGGGGACAAAGAGGCCCGTGTCTGGCGGGCAGGCAAAGTAAGCGACGCCAGCCACAGCCCCATTGTTCTTGCCCGTGCCGACGGCGTCGAGTTGAACGCCAGCCCAGACGCCAGGCGGAAGTGCACGGGTCCGAGGAAGCGGAGGACGCCAGTTTGACCCGTGGCGGGGACGATGACCGAGTCACCAACTTGGACTTGTTGTTGCTGGCGCGACATGAGCAGATGGGTGACGGGATGTCAGGAAGAAGAAAGATGGGTGGCGGTGGTTCAGGCGCTGGCGCGCTGGCCGAAAAGAATTGCTTGGAGGCGGGCCGTTGAAGAACAGAACGTGTTGCGTGAGTGACACTTCAGAGCAGGGCGGAATTGGTCGAGAGTCTTCTTGTATTCTTAATGCTGCTGCACAGACCATGGCCATGGACTGCTGGACATGTACATGGTATTGCGAGTCCCTTCGTGAACGTTGCAATTGGAAGAGGTCGCTCCGGAATGAGTGGATGATGGGCGCCAATGTTGGGATGGCGCCGTGTGGCGACGAGCGGTGCTCCAAATTGTGGCTGGTCACTGTGATCGGCGATCAATACAACCAAACTGCATTGTGATCAAGGCCAGACCAAGCAACTTCAAACATCTAATCATTAAGGCGACAAGGGTCGATCGC